GAACATTCATTCATTCATGGCAAGAAGCATAAGCATAAACTTTATTGCCAAGTATTTAAAGAAAATACCAAACACACTAATAATAATAATTAAAAAAAAAAATAAAAAAAAATATTTGCAGCCAAAGGAAATTGTATAACCCAACTCTTACCCTAACCTTAATCCTAAAACCAAGTCTTGGTACAGTTGCGAGGACCAACTAATCTATAGTTGTGCAAACAAACACTCATTAACATAGTGCATTCTCTAGTCCCTTATCTTAACCATCACAACTAAGGGCTCTACAGGGTGCAGCAGAGGGTGCATATAGTGTGTCAAATACTTTTTGCAGTTTTGGTGATCACCAGCATTGACATATATTGGGTGCAGCCTGGCACAACATAAAAGAGAGGTGGAATATATCATAACGAGCAGCTGGAACTATGCAAGTGTTTTAGTAAAAGCGAATCAAAGCCGCTCCTCTCGTCCCCTTTCACTGGGAAAAAAAATAAATAAATAACATGACTGTCAGTGATGGCATACAAGGCATCCTACTGGATTAACATTCTTCAGTTATTAGATCCATTTGGCCTTTTATGATGCCTGAAAATGTGTATAAAGTGTTTTTCCACCTCAGCATTCATGTTTGACCCCCAATGAAGGTTTTTAGAAGATTTCAATGAAAATAAAGTCCATGTGCAGTCTTCCTCATTCAGATGATCAAGAGTTCCATGGTTACCTGTATCAGCACAGAAGTGATAGTGTGGAGGTGCATTTTCACTTAAAGTGTGAGGATATATTAAACTAGATTGTGTAGAAATGTTGCACATTCAGCAGTCTCTGAATATCACTGACCAGCTTTTGTGCAATAAAGTAAGAAATACTCTGGTCCTGTAGCCAGTAGCACCTGTATGAATGTGTGACTGCAAATGGGCAAATGGTCTGTGAAAGTGCTTTTGTTTGTGCTCTAATGCATAGAAAAACGCTATACCAGCCCACCTCAGCACAAGAACATTCATTCATTCATGGCAAGAAGCATAAGCATAAACTTTATTGCCAAGTATTTAAAGAAAATACCAAACACACTAATAATAATAATTAAAAAAAAAAATAAAAAAAAATATTTGCAGCCAAAGGAAATTGTATAACCCAACTCTTACCCTAACCTTAATCCTAAAACCAAGTCTTGGTACAGTTGTGAGGACCAACTAAACAGTCCTCATAATGTCAAAATTTCTTCACCATGATAGCATCAAGGTGAAAAATACAGATCACCACCAGACTTATTCTTTCAGAAAAATCCTCTCACCACAGCATCCATACTAGTGCCTATATAATGTAAAAAGAATGTGTTGCTGAATACCTTTATAAGTTGCATTGTAACATCTGCACCAGCCAGAGGGAAGCGTTGCACTGCATGAGGTAGGCAGTACCCCTCAAATACAGGCACACTGTGGCTTGTTCCATCTCCAGAGTCAAACACCACACCTACAAAAATGTTTATCTATGAAACAGAACACACTCGCAATGCAAAAGTAGGCTGTGTAATAAAGAAAAGAAAAAAATCCACAATAAATGACCAAATTACCAGTTGATCTGCCTGTTGAATAGAGTGCCAGCATTGCCTGCATGGCCATGTAGATGAAAGGAACATTGAAACACTCAAACATGATCTCCACCATGTGCTGCCGGTTCTCCAGGGGGTTCATGGCTGCCTCTGTCAGCAGAACAGGGTGATCCTCTGGATCCACACATAACTGCTGGAACGTATGATGCCAAATCTAAAAAGAACAAAAGCGCTCAATTTTAAGTTAGCCAGTGAAACTGACTGGCAGCGTTACAGTCACAAGCTTTAGTTATCCAAATGTGTGGGCCGGTAACATGAGTAGGGTTAACCCTCCTGTGTAAAGTCAAAACATCTAAAAACAATAGTTTAAAGTATTTTATTGGTATGAAACTTCTTCTGCTTGGCTTAATAGGTGTAATCAACATATAAAATGAAAATGGTTCATTTCACATATTTGCAACCTCCCCCTGCGTGTTTATATTACATAGATACTGTTCGGGTCAATTTGAACAGAAGAGGTGTCTCGTTAATTTATCAACATCACTTCATAACAAGAAAAGATTTCAAAATGTAAAATAAAACTAAAAAAAAACCCAGTGGCATGTAAAAATAATTTTATATGTAGGTCTTTCCAATATACATAAAAAAAAAAAAAAAGCTTTAACATGCAATATTTATGAGAAACGAGTGCATTATCCTCATTGAACTATAATCTGTGAAAGGTAAAGAACAAAATAGTGACTGAAATGGTTAGTAATGGTAAATTTAACCCAGGAACATCACTGCTGTTCCTGAGAAATGAACATAACAGGTGGGTTAAAGGTTTTCCTGAGAGTTACTGAGGTGTAAAAATAATGTTAAATCACTGGATTTTTGTCAGATTTCCCATTTTGATTGCATCTAATATGTGAACAATTTTGTCACATTTCCAGTATAATCACAGTGGGTGATTTCGATCTTCTCATGTTCCTTCTTCCTGATGTTGCTATCGCTTTGGATTGCTATATCTATCACTATGGTCTACTTCCTGTTTGTCCACCACTACTATGTCCAGTTGGTTGGCCATTACCAGTTTGTCAGTTTGTATCTGGAAGTCCCACAGGATCTTAGCTTGGTCATTCTCAACCACCTTTGGAGGTGTATCCCATTTTGACTTGGGACTTCCAGCCTGTACTCAGCACAAATGTTTCTGTACACTATGCCAGTCACTTGCTTATGGCGTTCCATGTATGCCCTGCCTGCTAGCATCTTGCATCCCACTGTTATGTGCTGGATTGTCTCAGGGGCATCTTTGCACAGCCTGCACCTGCGGTCCTGTCTGGTATGGTAGACCCTGGCCTCTATTGATCTTGTACTTGGAGCCTGTTCCTGTGCTGCCAGGATTAGTGCCTCTGTGCTGTCTTTCAGTCC